CCAAACTCCTCCAAAGTGAGGTGATCTTGGCGGAATAAACTGCCAGTTAATACCTTCGGTAGTTAAATTGTCCCTAATAGTTGAACTATAGGTATTAAAAAATTTGACAAGCTCATTTTTTGCGCCAACGAAGGTACTACCATTGTCCGAAAGGATGGAAGCGCATTTTCCGCGTCGAGAAATAAAGCGTTTTAGCGTTGCTAGAAAACTTTCAGTGGTCAAGCTGCTCACGACTTCTAAATGTATGGCCTTAGTTGCTAAACAGATAAATAGAGCTATGTAACCCTTATAATTTCGGGTGTGTCGATCCTTTAGCAAAAAAGGTCCTGCATAATCAAGTCCACAGTTGTAGAATGGCCTAGAGGGAACAAGACGTGACGAGGGTAAATTACCCATAAGATAGGTTTCTAATTTAGGAGCCACCCTACAACAGATAATACAATCGCGAACGATTTTGCGAACAACTTGACGTCGTCCATTAATGGGCCAAATTTTTTTACGAATGGAAGCTAATAGTAATTGAGGACCACAATGATTAAAATTTAGATGCTCATTTCGTACAACAATAGTAGTAAAGTGGTGTTTAGAATCAAGGAAAATGGGATGTTTTTTATCGTAACAAAAATTAGAATTATTTAGTCTTCCGCCAACGCGGAGTATGTTATCCTTATCGATAAACGGATTAAGGGTAAGTAGTTTACTTTTAGAGTCAACGTTACCATGTCTTTTAAGGTGTGTAAAATCGTCATTAATAGTCGAATTATATATTTTAAAGCATTATCTATTTCCTCATAAGAAAGGTTGTCGAAGCTCCTTCGTTTAGGAGAAAATTTAGAATTATTTATAAAGCGTAATACATAAGCGATAATGCGTTGTAGTTTTACAAATGAGGATACTTTAGTGATGATGTCCAATTTCATGCGAACTCTTGAGATAAGGGCTGATACTGGTCGAAGCTCAGGGAGTTCAGAAGGTTCGAATGTTCTATTAGGCCAATGAGTTTCTGGTTTAGCTAGCCATGATGGGCCATGAAACCATATTTCAGAAGTGATAAGTGATGTAGGAGAAATTCCCCTTGAAAGAAGATCTGCGGGATTCTCAAGTATATTCACATAACGCCATGTGTAAGATTCGGTCAAAATTTGAATTTGAGAAACTCTATTTGCCACAAACGTAGTTGTGGCCTTGTAGTTGAATTGACTTGTAGTTTGTACAAATTACATGCCTAGGAATTTGTAACTGATTAAGTTTAACCAGTTGAGTCTGATATGTAACCCATTTCGTAAATATATCCATGGGAACGACTTCGTCCCAGGGAATTTTTAATTTCCACAAATCTTGAAGACTAATTTTAGTTGTTATAGTTACAGCCGAAAGCAAACCTATTGGATCAAATATTTTTGATATAGTGGAAAGAATAAGTCTCTTTGTAACTTTACACTTGTGCTCTATAGGTTGAACATTGAAATGAAAAGTGTCAGATTTTGGACTCCACAATAAGCCCAAAGTTTTGATAGTATCATCAGCTCCAATTTCCAAGGAAACATTATTTTGATTTTCAAAGTTTCAAATAGGTGCGTTTGACTTCCATTTTCTCAATTGAAAACCATGACGAGACAATAATTCGGAAGTAAGTGATTGAATACTTTTGATATCTTCTATTGTAGAACCACCTGTGTGAAGATCGTCGACATAAATTTCCCAAAATTTTTGAAGTTGATCTTCAATACTCAACTTGTTTATGGTCTACAAATGACATGAAGTTCTGGCTGCAAGGGTGTTGTTTGGAAATAATGGACCTGAGATAATCCATCCAAGTTTGGTTTTTTGAAGAATCGGTTGTCCAGGTGATAATTTAATTTGACCAATACAAATTAAATTCCAAAAGATGTCTGCACCGATAAGAAAATCAATAGGAGATGAAATATTGAAGTCTGGATCGGCCAGAGTAATATTGGAAGAGATATTAAGTATTTTCTTATCGAATGTGATAAAGATCTTTCCTGCAATTTCCGGAAGCACTAAGCAAGAAATTACTTGAGAAAAGTTTAAAGTTTTGGACTTAAATTTTACTGACGTTCTGTAGCTTACAATAGAATTTGTTTGTTTATACCAGAAATAGAACAATGTGATTTGGTCGTAGGCAACCTTAGAAGATTTAATAGGCGCTGGGAAATGAAATTACTTTCCGAGCCGTTATCTAGAAGTGCACGAGCCTCGTGTTCGTTACCTGAGATGTCAAATACGCTTATTTTTACAGTTGACTGCAAAGTAGTAGAGTTGTGCTCAAACGAAATGTTACGTGCTGTCAGTGCATTAGATCCTTCTGATGTACCTGGACTTGAGCAAGGTAAACTCCTTCTGGTTTTATTACTGATTTCAATAAACTTTTGTGAGTTACCTTGAAAGTGTAAAAGTATGCGGTGTATTTTTCCACAGTTACGACACCCGGAAGATTTGCATTCCTTTGTGAAATGACCACTACGCAGACAATTTATGCAAAGTCGCAAGCGTTTTGCTTCATTATGTCTTAATGACGTTTCTAATTTGAGAAATTTAGGACAAGTCTAAATTAGATGTTTTTGTTTGCATAAAGAACAGTTGGAAGAATTATTAGTTGACAAGAAATTCTTGGACTTGGGATTACCTGCAGATGAAAATTTGGGACGAGATTTTTCTTCTTGATGATTAATAGATTCTAAGACTCTACATTTACCTTTTAGAAATTCAGTTAAGCTACTCAAAGTGGGTATTGTGTTCTTGTCGTCTTTAATTGACAGTTCCCAGTCTTTGTGTGTGGCATTGTCTAGTTTTGTGGTGATTTAATATATGATAAGGGCATCCCAAGATGTTGTGTCTAAGTTTAAGGACTCAAGAGAGCGTAAATGTCATTGGAAACCATCGAGTAAAGTGCGTAAATCATGATGTGAATTTTTTGAAACATTTGGTAGGTTAAATAATTTTTTAATATGATTATTAACTAGAAGTGATCTGTTTTCGAATCTGTCTTTTAGTAATTCCCATGCAGTTTTATATGTTGCCTCAGAAATGTCCAGGTTACGTATTGTTTCTGCGGCAATACCTTGTAAGGAGAATCTTAGATAATGGAATTTCTGAATGTTGGAAAGTTCTATATTGGTATGTATGATAGAAATAAATGTATCTCTAAAAAACAACCAATTATCATAATCACCCTCAAACGAGGGCAGACCACAAGGTTTTGAAAGATTGGTGTCAATAAAGTCTCGCACAGCGCTAGTGATATGGAAAAACGGTGTTTCGAAAGACGACCTTTCTATACCATGGATAGTATCTGCGTTGGCAGTATAGTCCTCATCAGAGGCCTCAATAAGTGATTGAGCGTTGTCAAAATCATCAAAAAGTTTCTCAATTCTATCAAGTCTAAGTTGTAAATCTCTAAGGTTAATTTGTTCTTGAGGTTTGTTTTTGATAGAATTAAAATACGTACTAAAACGGGTTACAGAACCTTTGATTGAGGAGCGTTTAGTTTTTGCTGTAGCGATGTCAGCCATATTGACAATATAACTTATATATTCACAAAAATTAAAATGTTTGTATGTTACATGTCACAAAAAACAATTAAAATCAATTATGTAAAGTTGTGCGTAAAAATGCTTTGCGAGTGAATAAAAAACGTTAAAGATAATATTCCAACTGTAATAATTTATAAATGTAAAATGAAAATATTGAAATCTCTAAATGTGTTAGAGCATTAAAATACCTGATTTTAAAAATAAATATTTTCCACTGGATTACATCAAATACAAATGTACCCTTTTACGACCATAAGAGATAAAGTAGGTAACAGGAAATTATTTATGCACTAACCTTTGACGACAGATTATACCTGCCTTCTTCCGATGCTAAACTGTGTGAATGGGACGATGCAAATTCGCCGAAAATGAATGAGTGTAAGTTAAATCCTATTAGAATTTCACGTAATAATACAAAAACAAATCGCTTAAAACTAAACTGTATTGAAGAAAAAAATAGCACATTTAAAATATTTGTAAACAATAAATTTAAAATCTGTGTATAACAACTATGCATGATGGCACGTAGCCGTGTATGAACTACTGTATCGTAACAACGTTTTCTTGTTTTTTTATGGGCATTAGTACTCCTTCCGCAGCTTCTTTGCGTATTTTAAAAATAGTACTAAAACTTACTCCTGTCATAGCACTTACTTTATCGGTTAAACTTCTAACACTTTCACCACTCCTTAAGTTTCGATGATAATTAAATACATTTAAAATAATTTGTTTTGCACGGATATCCAAAATGTTCCCTTGGCTTAATTTTTGAATTTCCATTTTCAATTAACATTTAACTGTAAAGTCTTAAAGAATAACAACTAAAAAACCACAAAGCCTTATTATCATTATGTAGTCTCAGAGAACAACACAAAATCGCTGACATACGCACACCGTATTATTTTAAGTTGCAATCAGTAATTAGATATATGCATTCCAAGCGGTCCGTTTGTTTGCTTTAAATCTTTAATAGCCGACAAATTTCATGATTTAACTAAGCAATATTTTCTACTGATTTCTATGATTCACGGTATATGGTATTCTTACCGAAAAACAAATGAACTGTCGTTACTATAATTAAAATAAGATAAAATAAAATGATCTTTTGTAAATACTATTTATTTAATTTAAATAATTTTCCCTACTTTTCATCTCTTGTTTCGAATGGGCACTTTTGGTCAATTGCGTTAAAAAACATTAATTTAATTCATGTCTGTGGAAACGAAAATACAAATTATACAACCCTGAATAATGCTTGTGTGTGTCGTGGCAACGCCGCGCTTCTATCGTCCATAATAAATACATGGCCCTATCTCCGCAATGTTATTTTCTTAACGTGGAACGCTCTACAGAATTATTCTTAACGGCAAAGCTAATTTTTCTAATTAGAGGATAATACAATTCTGGTGGGTTTTATATTAATTAAATCTTTATATTTTCTTACAGAAACGGCATCTACCCATTGACGGCGTTTGGAGCCAAGCAACCCCCTCCGTCCCGTTCGAGGGCGATATCACCGGAAATGACAGAATCCGTAAAATCTGTTACCCCTGAACCAACTGATGTAGAAACTAGGAAAATTGTTAATATGATGTGTGATGTTAAATCCAAAGAAGAAAGCTGTGATCTATTGGTATGTTTCTAAATTTTATTTCATTAGTGAATTGTGAGTGTAACTTGTGAATCGGTCTTATTAAATTCTGAACACGTACAGTTGTAACCTCGAAACTAGCTAAATCTGTGCTTACTGTGCCACTGTTATTGTAATTAAGAGAATTGTATTTGTATGCATTTGTATGGTGCTAACATAGTATTTTCTAGTTTCGTGTTTATGTTGAGAATTCTGATAAAAATCGAACTGCAAGAATCTAGAATAACATTTATGACAAATACTACACTAGTTTCTAGTTTACTATACTATTAGTTATGTTGCTTGAAAGATTTTCAGCTATTTTTTATAGTATTCTCAAACGGTGGTTACATTTAAAGCATACCGTGTTGAAAATTTTAAGATATACATTTCTTGAATTTATATCTCTTCAAAGATAGACGGGATCGACATAAAGAAAGAACGTTATTAAAGCGAAGCATGTATTTCCAGTAAAATGCTGAGGCGAGCGTTACGGAAGTACCACCACAAACCGCGTCAGGGAAGAAGCACCGGAAGTAGCAAGAAATAGCGGGTCGTAGTTAGCAGTCACAGTAAACAGTTGAAAGAGTCCATTTACGCGACAAGGAGAATCCGTTATACAAAAAAATAATAAATAATAAAATTACTTTATTTAATTTTAAAAATATTATTTAAAAATACAGAAAACATAGTATGATTCTTTGCACTAGTCTACAGTACTGACTACTTTACCACTTTGTTTAATAAGGCAAATACATAGTTATATTAAATATTTTTTATAGGTATAAATAAAATAAAATGTGCAGATCATAATACGTGATTGCGTTATTCATCAAGGTCATTTCTTTTTTATAATTTATAATTTCATTCTATTAAGATCGAACAAAATTGTCAAAATTTGTTGATCAGTGGGCCCAATCTTTTTTTGTCTATCTCCTTTTTTTTTATTTTTCGTCAATCTGCTTTTCTTTTGCTTGTATTATAAATACAAGGAGATCGAACATCATTTATTTCATACAGAATTTAATCATTAATATATTTTTTAATAAGTTAATTGCACAGTCTAGCAGTTAAGTAATAATACAGAAATTATTTATGAAATGAAATGAAATGAAAATAAAAGAAACGAAATGAAAGGCAGCGGACTGTATAAAACTCTATTTTAAAAAGCTGTAAAATTAAGCATAAATATACATAACCAAATATACCATTATAATTAAAGAAGAATATTACATTAAAGAAGAAGAATATATTACTAACTATTAGCTACTATGAAACACACCAACAGACACACCAAAAGACAACCATAAACAGACCGAAACAAAAATGTCGATTCTATAAAAAACCACTGACAAAACAAAAGACAAAACCTACCATAGTCGCAAACATACTATACATAAAACGACAAAAGACAAATTAATAATCTTACAAAAAAAATCAACCTAAATAAGGAAACAATATTTTAACGTTGTAAGAACAAATTAAGAATGCGGTGCATACAAATAATTAATAAGTACAATTATTAATACAAATCACACATGAAATAAATCGGTGTTAACAAAATACAAAAAAATATACAATACAGTAAATAAACCGAAACAAATGCAAAATGTCCAATTGACAATGTTCAATCGCGATCGCGGCACAAATGCGATGAAGTTCCAAACAAATATCAAATAAATATACCAAGTGCACGTACTTGATATATGCAGCAACAAATTAATATGGTGTATTGTTCCTTACCCCATGAAAAAGATAGCCCCAACGCTATCGCAAATTATGTCTTCAGCGACACTTTAACTACCCAAGTTTGTGATGCACATTAGCGTCTTTCTTGGTCGATGCGGAATCAGGTACTGTTCGTCTTCACATACACATGTTCATCGTTTGAGAGATACTTTTCGACTCTTTTGTGTATGGCATGCAAACCCTTATTTTAGGTACCACACACATGTGGTGATATTTGGCAGATGGCTTCTTGAAAATTTATTTCTTAAAATAGCTGCATTATTTCGTATAGGCAAATCTGGTTTAAATATACTACGAGGAGAATCGAAACTAACAAAAAGACTGTTCATATTTAATAAATGTTTATGTATAGTTGCGAAACTGCAACATTCTCCCCGCGTTGGCATACGTGCCAATAAAACAAAGCTGTTCTTTGCACTCGCGGCGCACGTCTGAAACCGTAAACACTTCTTCTGTTACGAAACGAACGCCACACTTACAAGACTACAAAAAGCTCTACAATTACAAAAGAGCACAAAGAACGATAAACTTACAAACAATAATATATTACAAATACATAACTATATACTAAATATACATCACTAAAATTATACAACTATCAGTACTATACATAAAACATATTTCCCCTCTAATAGGAAGTGCATTTCTCTATTATCCCAGGATAGAATACATAAACTTGACGCCATCGAGACGTGGCTATACAAGTGAATCCTCAGGATATCATAGACGGACCAGTTAACCAACGGGACCGTACGAAAAAGAACGAGGGAAGAAAGAAAAGTGATGTATATTATTAGAAGGCAACAATCAGAATGTCTCGGACACATGATGAGAGACGACACTCAATATAAATGCTACAAATAACCTTCTAATAGTTTTCGAAAAGCGAGGAATTGTGAGAAGACGAATATCCTGGTTAATAAACCTAAGGAAATGGTTCTCCGAAACAACATCCGAGTTAAGGATAAATGAACAGAATAATTAGCAATCTACCTGGACAGACATAATCATGACAAAAAAAGCGAAAAAGTAAAATGAAGAAACTATATTCTTCCATAAGCTGTATCCATAAAAGATAACTATGATAATTTGAATAGCAGTAAGCAAATTATGTCTCACGTTGAGACTCACCTTCCTTTTTGTAAAAAGGCGGCGACTAATTCTAAGCTAGAAGTAGACTTAGAAAATGAGAATAAATCAAATTACAATACATATAGAACTAAAGAACTAACACCGGAGGGACCACAGACGTTCGGATACAATTAGCGTCTCTTAGCAAAGACAATGACGTCGACTTTGCTAAGTATCAAGACAATTACTCTACACACACACACACACACACACACACTACACCTCAAATTGTAAGATTGGCGAATGGATTTAGTGTCCGCAGTCATTTAAACACAAACAAACAACAACAAAACAACTAAAGAACTATAAAATACGAACATTATACTACTCAATAAACAAGGCTTTTATACATAAGAAGGCAATTTTGAAACGAACAAAAAACAAACATGGTCTGCCTCCTACGAATTCTTTGTACTTTAAATAATTCGTACATAGTTGAAAGAAAATGTCTTAACTGTCCAAACGTTAAAACCGTTATTTTAGAATAACGTGGCGCAAATACATAAACAAATAAAGCTACGTAAGCTTTAAGCAAAAAATATATCCCATAATCTATAGCAATAAACAAAAATCTCGAACTGGTAACACAATGATATAAGGGACTCTCAACATTATAAAATGTGCAACAACTAAGTCCGAAATGATATCTACAATTGGATGTACCTTGGGGCCTTCTATGTCCCAACCATACGTATGTTTCAAACATCTTTAAAACAACTACATTGTTCGAAGAAATAACAGGATGCTTTTGAGCATAACGAATGGTAGCATTCCTCAACATACCGCTAACTTTCGCACGGTGAATAATTTCCTCTGGAAATAAATTCCAAAATACTAGGAAACAGGAGACTTTTTAAGTCTTGAACAAAAAACAATTCAGCTTGCTTTTTTTGAACGTTTCTGATGAAACAAAACACAAATGCCTTTACTCGGCGTAAACGAGAAATATATGAGTACATTTTAAGTACATTCGGGGTACATATGTACCCCAAATGCTAAATCTAGAGATGGGTGTAATGCCACTCTAGGAACTTTTGACCCAATTATGGTCGCAAATTCTAAGTTATTAGATTGTTTAAAATTTTCTCTGAAATGAGACGACAGGAATTTTGGCTCACAATGCCAAGATGTCGATCGAGTTAGTGTATCGGGTTTAGCTTCCCGCGAAGCTGTATCGGCAGCGTCATCGTCAGTCATCCCATCATGAAAATCATACACAGAAAAATCCTTGGGCAAGGATTGAATATTAGAATGGATCTGAGGTCCAGAGAGATGTACATTATTAAAGGTTAGCCCCGTAGACAAACTTGCGCCTGTATCAGCGTCACGAGTCTTGTAGGACTCACTATCCGTTACCACTTCAACATGTGGAAGAAAATATGCAATACTGCTAAGGTCATTAAGTAATGCCTTATGGACAGTATCTACGTGAGGTAAAGTCGAGGATAGCTGACCTGACGAACTAGGCGCCATCACACGAGGTATTTGAGACGTGAATGTCTCGAAAGAAGATTGAGATTGTGAAAAAGATGAGTCTTTTGACATATGATTTTGAGAATTCACTACATTGAGTAGATAGCATAAATCTGAAATCAGTTTGAAAGGTCTTTCTCCCACATGTAACCTAGAAGAACAATAGGATGCACTACCTACTTTATAATACATATCGGATGAGAGAACGGCCTCCCATATTATAAGTCCCATTGCCTTAGAAAACAAATCATCTACAATATTTCGATCCTCGCTATCTGCAGCGGAATCTACCAATAAGTTCTCGATTGCATCCTGTGCACATTCGTATTTATCATACTCAACCTGTAAATACTCACGACGAACTTTCAAAAGACTGTCAATCTCGACCAATGAAACATTTTATGCAACCCAATTACAATGACGAATAATTGCATTATTTGTAGACTGTCTCTTGAATTTGAGGGTGTCCATTATTTAAACAAAAATAGAGCAACAAAAATAGAGCAGTCGATCGGATAGCCAAGCGGGCTGGGCGGCTGGCTTCTCCTTCGCTTCAATGCGAGAGATGTCAGTTCAATTCCCAGCTCGGTGTACAGAAGACAAAAAAAGAAAAAGATTGTGGATGAGTAAAAGTAATTGTAAATCCTTGG